TTTATTATTACTGCCATCATCATTAGACACTATAGCTACGATCGATGAAGTTATACGGTGCTAATTACTGTTTTCTGGCACTCTTTTTAACATTTAGAAAAAAAAGCGAAACCGATGGTATCTATTGTAACCATATAAGAATAACTTAACCAACTTTCAGACAATTTTATCGTCAATTAAAAATACAAAAACTCCTTCTTCGATCACACGTTGACTATTATAATCTTATAAGTTTTTTGATTCAAAAAGAGTTAAACGCTTTTCTATTCATTAATAACCAAAGCGACTGATTATTTCATTTACTTTTTTAAAAGAAAAAACCAACGTTTTTATTGTCTCGGTACTAATTAGATAACATCAAAAAGTTGTTGCTTTATTTTTAAAGTCAGTTGCAGGAAGAGTATGTAACTAATCTGAGCGTAGCAGTGGCTCATAAAAGTATTTTAAAGTTTACTATTTTTTCGTAAACTGTTGGTTTTTTCTTGCTTTTTTTTGCGTATAATTAAAAATACCTCAGGTTTTTCAAAATTTTTTATTCTTATATCAATTTTTTAAACCAGAAAGATTATTCATTGTTTGATTTTTTTAAAAATTTTTTTCAAGTTATCGCATAACATTCTACAAGAAATTGACTGTCGACTACCTGACATTTTTACAGAACTGCAACTCTATGTTGTTAAATAAGTGTTTCACGTTGAATGAAGGAAGAAGTATCAGACAGTCATCTTGTAGTAAGAAAAGAAAGTGGCACAGTTTTTCTCGTCGAAAAGCAATCATCTATTATCGAAAGACCTTTAGAAATTAGTAGCATTTCTGATTCAAAAAAAAAAACCTATTTTTATCAAGAAATTGTATGATAATTGATGTTTTTATTAACAAAGACTAATATTTATATTTCCGCATTTCTATACAGATTTTATGAAACTGACAATATTTTCAAAATCAAGTTTTTTTCCTGACTTTTTTATACCTAACAGTCATCTTTGGCCATTGTCTTTTAAATTTAACCTAAGGTTTTGCCACAAAAAAATTTTTTATTATTCAATCAAACTTAGTTTCAACAATCAGTTTTGCCTTATCTTATTTTTTAATGTTAAAAAACAACTTGTATTAGTTTTTAGAAAAACCTTTTTTTGCAAAATTCTTGACTTTCTTGTGGCTTAGTATCAGAATTGATGTTGGTCAGATGATCACCTACTCTTTCAATCGTTGGCTGAACGTCAATTGCTAGTTTTGATGTTTTTGTCGACCAATCTAAGTTCTTTTATCTTTGTCCAATTTTAAATCATTTTTTTTTTGAAATTTATTTTACTGTAATTTACAGATATATTCAATACAAATTTCTAAAAGATTCATCTTTCTTAGAGTTCCTAAAGGGTTTAAAAAACTTGCTATTAACTTTCTGACCCACTTTCTCTTTTCGTCGGTTAAACAACAGTACGGAACTACAGTTAATGACAAATAAAGATATAATTTGTCTTAAATGAGAATCAAACAAGTGTCATATCGAGTTTTTGCTGAGAAATTAAGTTTTTCTTCAGAAATCTTTAACAGTAAGACTTTTTTGCGAATTTAGCTGAAAAAAAAAAAAACATGTGCATTATAAAAGTTTGGAAGTTTATTTGTTAAACTGTATATAAAAATTTTAAGTTGTTTTTTAAAGCTTTTTCAGAGACAACAAAAAATTTTTGATAATAGAATTTATTTTAATATTTTTAAATCAATTTGAAATAAAAGTAAAAAATTAACAGGAGATTTTGATAACCAGTGAAATATTACTTTATGTTACTTTTTTATGTAAGTATTTAAAGCAGCAATGATGATAATAGTGGTGAAGTCTGTCTGATTGTTTCACTGCGTTGTAAAGTGTTCCACTGTCAGTTTATTATCAATTTTTGCTAAGTGTCAAAGAAAATGATGATAAAATGAGATAAGAAAGTTATTTTTGGTTTAACCACTTTATGGTGTCTAGTTTCATCTTCACTGCTGTCTACTGATAAACTTGAAAGGCACAACTGAAGAGGTCGATTAATCAGAGTTTTTGTATGTCATTTACATATTATTCTAAGAAGTCTACTACAGTAAAGTTGTAATAAGTTAAAAAAATAAAAGAAAAAGTATTTTTTATACTTGAAGTTAAACAGCGCGTCACCAGTTATTGAAGGGTGTCAAGTGCTACAGTATTTGATTCGTACTGTTTTTTGATTCTTAGCAAGGTTTAGATAAATAAGTTTAAATCAATCATCACGGTTTTTTGTGTAGAGTGCTCTGTATTAAAGTTCCACAAATAATTTTTTTTCAAAAACAAGCAAAAAAAAATTATAGCCACAAACAAAACTTTGATAACAATTTTTTTGACATGTTGAATTAACATCAGCTAAAAGGACATTTTTCCTCAAATTGGAGGCTAAATATATCAGTGTCAGCTGAACATTATCAGTTTCAAAACTGTTTACCAACGGCATAACAATCTATTTTTACAGGTCTCAGTCATATTTTCTTCACTGTTTTTTGTTCGTGTGAAAAATTGATCAAATTTTGGGGCCATTTCTTCAAGTACAGTCACCAAAACTACTGTTTTTCCAGAACTTTGATTTCCACGAATTGTAACAGGTAAAACGCAGCAACAGTTGTCGAACTGCATAAGCAATAATAAGAAACACCCATTTGCTACTAAGCATAGCTAAAATGCTTAACCAAACGAAATATTTACCAAAGTTTGTTGGCTCAAAATTTTTCTGATTATTAGAACGGTTCAGTCATTCTCAGTAATTCAATAGTTTAAAATAAGAACGCTAACACCACCATGACTCCATATGAGTACTTTTCTTTTGTCGACAATTTTAACGATTCTCAATTCCGCCGTCGTTATCTGGTGAACACTAAAAACAGACAGATTTACTGTTGCAGTAAAAATATCACTTTGTATGTAAAAAAAATTTTGCTTCTGACGTTTTACTTTACGAGTCACGGTCATAATTCCACTTTCCAAATCTTTCACGAAACATGCAACAGCTTTTTGTTTTTTTTTGTCAACAATGCGCGAACAAAGCTCTTCCAAAAGAGGTGGGGAGGGGGAAAGGGGGTTTGCGTAGGCAAATGATACAACAGTTTATCTCAGAATTTGTTTTTTTTCACAAGCGGGGGGGAGGAGGGGGTTACAACTGGTAATCCAGGCAAAACTTATAGTGTCATTAACCATCACATATAAGACTGTCAAGTCTAGCATAAAAGACTCATCACCCAGCTAAAAACCAATTTTTACTTACTTTGGCTCGCGTTTAATTTTTCCTCTCATTTACTTTCCTTAGTTCTTATATTGTTCACGCTTATTTGACAGCTTCAAGTCCAACCTGTATGACAGCCTTCGTTTCTGTTTAGTTCATTCATTTATGTATTCTTTCAACATTTTTAGTCTAAACAGGTTTTTTATTGTTAATGTTCAAAAATCAGGTAGAAACACATTAAGTTAGAATAAGATTTACTAAAGGGGACTAGTTATGTTACCAGACTTATGCAGGAAATCGTTACGGTTCCGCACCATCACTTGTGGCGTCATCGCGAACAATGGAAAGGTCTTCGTTCAAATACAATCCATAAGCAAGATCGG